CACATTTTATTAAACGATGGGAACAGAAAATAAACTAGTGTGCACAATTTAATATAGTGAGGGAACAAAATTGGAACTTTAACATGGTAGGGCATTGGATCTCTGATCTTTGGGGCTATGTTGGCACCAGCCCCTCGTAGTGTTTCCTATGATAAACAGGTTTTAGGGGAGGGGTCAGCCTGAAACCGGGAAAGGAGCTCTGTCGTCTGGGTTGAGCTTGCTGCTTACTGCTACTCTGAATCAACTGAGGTAGTTTGGACATCTGATTAGAATGCCTCCATGGTGACATTTTGGAGGTTTTCAGGGTAAGTCCCTCTTGAAGAAGACCTAGGGCAGACCCAGAACTTGGTGGAGGAGCCTGCTAAAACCTTGGGTTCCCATAAGAGCAGCTGGAGAGTGCTGCTGAGAACGTCTGTGTTTTTCACCTGGACCTGCTGCCTTCATGATCCGACCACAGATAGAAGACGCAGATTCAGATGGAAACTAAGGGAACAGATTAAAAATCAGTGGGCACAATTTAAAAAACTAAAGTAAAGGTTCCCAACCCTGTTCCTTGTGACCCACTGTCCTGCAAGTTTTAGCTGTTTTCCTGCTTCAACTGCTGATTATCATCAAGTGTGGCAGAAGTCTTTTGATGATTCATTCATTTCAGACAGATGTGATGATGCAGGAAAACATCTAAAACATGCAGAACAATGGACCACGAGGATCAGGTTTTCAGCCTCTGATCTAAGGGAATAGATTCTTTWAAAGTATTCTCACTTTAAGGGGCTGCGGGGATTATGAAAAATTAATTTTTTTGAGTTTTATATCACTTATACCAAGCATGAGCAATCTTGGTCCTGGAGGGCCACAGCCCTGCATGTTTTACTTGTTTCTGTGCTCCAACACACCTGATATGAATGAATATATGATTATTAAGCTTATGCAGTACAGAGGACCAAAACTGACATAATTAGAAATAAAAGTAGAATTACAAGAACCAATAAATAAATACATTTGAAATGCACCAATTAAAATTAAAAAAGGAGTACTTTATCACCTGTTTTATATTTTAATTAACTTTCATATTTATTTTTCCAGGTTAGTTCCATTAAATTATTCTATATATTTG